AGAACTGACTTGCGTTAGACCTGACCTGCCCCAGAGAACTCCCCAAACCTGACATTTTGCATTTACACTTTGTTAGAGGCAACTGAAACTTGGCCTGTGTTCAGAGAGCTTAGAAACTCCTCCTCTTGTTGCAGCTGATGCTGGGACTCTTCTAGGGAAGTACTCGGTACCATCTGGCCCGCTGGCTATCAGCCACGCAATACCTCTGTGAGAGCAGATGGACTAGATGGGAGGTGCTCATCTGGGCAGAGTCCTGGAGCTTATGTGTACAACAGCCAAGTGCACCCTTGAGTGGCATGCCCTCCGAGTTTGTTCTGGCTTGCTCCAGAGACAGCCCTGACAGCACACCCAGCAACAAATTCAGTAACAAATTACATGCATGGTTGATTGATATGAGTGTGTGTTGGGCTTTGGGGACAGGAAAGCATAGATGCAGAAACTCAGACTACAAATAAAGCACCCAGGAGTTTTGGGCTTGCAGGAATCTTCTGGCTGTTTCTGTGGGTGAAATGATGGTAATGGCAGAAAATAGGTCTGGAAGGAAAACCCAGAAGAGATCCAAAGCAGGATCAACTCATGTTTCCAGTTATAAAGATTTCACAATTATTTTTCCAGAGCTTCGTTTTCCTTTCCTTTTACTAAGTAGGAAGGCTCTACAACTGACTCATTTCTTTGTCCCTTCTCACCATAACTGTCACTAGTCATCAGTTGACTGGTTCTTTGTTGTTTTCTTTTTTTTTAATTCTAAGTATCTTTCATTTTCTCAAGTGGATTTTGTCTTTGACTAGAACCTTTTGGTTAAGTGACTCAACAGACTAGGAAAGAGTAAATCTACTAGGCTGGCGGGCAGTCACCAGTGGGGTCCCTCAAGGCTCCATTTTAGGGCCGGTACTTTTCAATATTTTTCTAAACGATCTGGATGTAGGAATAGAAGGCATTTTGAGCAAGTTTGCTGATGACACCAAACTTGGAGGAGTTGTGGACTCGAATGAGGGTGGAAAGGCCTTGCAGAGGGATCTGGATAGGTTGGAGAGCTGGGCGATCGCCAACCGCATGAAGTTCAATAAGAGCAAGTGCCGGGTCCTGCACCTGGGACAGGGAAACCCTGGCTGCACGTACAGACTGGGCGATGAGACGCTGGAGAGCAGCCTAGAAGAGAGGGATCTGGGGGTCGTGGTAGACAGCAAGTTGAATATGAGCCAGCAGTGTGCCCTGGCAGCCAGGAGGGCCAACCGTGTCCTGGGGTACATCAAGCACGGCATCGCTAGTAGGTCAAGGGAGGTGATTGTCCCGCTCTACTCTGCGCTGGTGCGGCCTCACTTCGAGTACTGTGTGCAGTTCTGGGCACCACAGTATAAAAAGGACATGAAACTGTTGGAGAGTGTCCAGAGGAGGGCTACGAAGATGGTGAAAGGCCTGGAGGGGAAGACGTACGAGGAACGGCTGAGGGCACTGGGCCTGTTCAGCCTGGAGAAGAGGAGGCTGAGGGGAGACCTCATCGCAGTCTACAACTTCCTCGTAAGGGGGTGTTGAGAGGCAGGAGACCTTTTCTCCATTAACACCAGTGACAGGACCCATGGGAACGGGGTTAAGCTGAGGCAGGGGAAATTTAGGCTTGACATCAGGAGGGGGTTCTTCACAGAGAGGGTGGTTGCACACTGGAACAGGCTCCCCAGGGAAGTGGTCACTGCACCGAGCCTGTCTGAATTTAAGAAGAGATTGGACTGTGCACTTAGTCACATGGTATGAACTTTTGGGTAGACCTGTGCGGTGTCAAGAGTTGGACTTGATGATCCTTAAGGGTCCCTTCCAACTCAGGATATTCTATGATTCTATGATTCTACTCCATATTTAAGAAGACTAGATGGATCTCATGAGGGAAAAGGCGAATAACCGAAGGGAAGCCACCACATTTTTTGTACCTGAGTTTTGATAAAGTTTTCTCTGGAAACCTGCTGATTACAACCATGCATAACAGCCCGTACTACACTGTGCACAGCACTGCTACATGAAACAGTGCTAATTGCTTGCTGTTTGTCTTTGTTATCCAGAACACCTCTGATTCTCTGATTTGTAACTCATCTTATAAAGATGTTGAAATCCCCTGTCTACAAAAGGTTTTAAGACTATCTTTCCCATAGGCTATGGTAATAGGTATCTATCACTAAACTGCAATTTTTTTTTTAAAAAAAAAAAAAGCCTATCATAAATGCTCATATTTTGCATTATATTTTAAAAATCTGAATCTGTGTTGGAAAAAAATAATAATAATAATTTTTGCTACCATTTGATTAGTGCTCGGTAGTGAACTACTGCTAAGGCTGAATACATTTAAGCAGGAAAGTAAGGAATATGTAACCCCACATATCAAGCGTTTGGGCTATCAAGTATATATTCACCTACAGAGGTTGATCAATTCTCTGTGCTAAGACTTCAGTCCAAAGAAAATCTATGCTCTTCAGGAAAGTAAATCAGCCCCAAGCAAAAAAATAAATAAATAAATAAAAAATAAAAAGTATATATATAAATAAATAAATAACATTTTAAAATGGAACTGGTGTTGAATGAATGGAAATATACAAACTCTTTTATTTAGGAACAGAAACTGTACACAAAAAGCTGAAAAAATGACTGCATAGAACTGGTTCCATGCCAAGATCTTCTGCTTACTTCCATTGGCATAATGGCCTTTTTGGTCAGGATGCCAAGTCTGCTATAATCAGCGGAGTTAAGGGCTCTCAACACTTCACAAGATTGGGCCCTAATTGCTGCAAATCTAGTTAATGCCAAGGGGGAGACACAGGCATCAGGATTTGGGCCTTTGCCCCAAAAGAGCAGCACAAATAACATCCATATTCATTAGGCAGTTGACAAGAGAATGCTGAGCGCTGGACTGTACAGCAGTCTGCCTGCAAATTTGATGAATTAAAAAAAAATAATGAGCTGAGGGTTCAAAAGGTTTCCTTTCATGTGCATCAGGCATTTTCATGAAACACAAGTAACTACACAAATTTGCTATTTAGTAATAATGGGTCATGTCAGAGCTGGGTATCTCTTGATCTCCTGTTGAGATGACAGCATGCACCACAAACCAGTTTTCTGCCAGCATGAAATGAGTGTTAGCAGATTTACTCTTAATGAGCTCATCACACTGAAGTACCAGTTAAAGGGAGCAGGTCACAGATTATGTTTGTTTAGTTGCCCTGACGTGTCTTGTTTGTTAATTCAACACACAATTGTGGTGGTGTTGGTAGGAAGCACCCCCAATCTACTGTGCCTGACCAACCTCTGCAGTGACATTTACAAACTTTCTCTTTGCCAGAACCTGGGGTAAATCAATACTACTCCAAGTTATGCAGTTGAACAAATTTGATCTGTGCCAACTTTGGATATGGCCATATATATTTTCTACTCTCACCGTCTTTTCCGATCTTATTCTCTATTGAAAACTGTTAAACAGAGCTTGGGGTATGAAAACAGTTTCCAGTTTCCAGCCCTATTATACACATACTTTCAGATTGTGTTACTGGTTATGTTTACCATTCTCTTGCACGTTGTATGTGGCAGAACCCTCATTTGTACAAGCCCTTTAGATCCAAGGATGATTAAAGCATAAGAGGAAGATTAGAAATGAGAGGGGACAGACCTATCATGCAATACCACTAAATCTGCTGAAAGAGACCCACATTATGTAGTCTTGAAGGTACGTAAGAAAAGTGGGATGAGCCAGTGGGGTATTACCAGATCACATAATAGCATGCACAGCAACATTAGCAGATATTTATGTATAGAGAACACCTCAGTCCTTCAATTCCTCCCACACACAATGAATCCATGCCCACCTTTTGCTGTAATGCCTTCTGCACTGCAGAACACCCTCTACGTGAAAGGAGGTGACTTCTTAGAGGAAGATCTTCAAGACTCATCCAGCTCACTTTTAAATATTTCGTCTTGGATTTCATAGATGAAGCAGAATGCTATATAGCTGTATGAGCATTTAACAGCAAATGCAATTTTCACTGAAATCCATTTGGGGTTACAGCCCATTTGGTATTTCAAGGCAATGCACCATTTGAAACTGCCAAAGCTTTAGTAGGGCATATAGATCACACAGTAGCATCTCCTCTGTGTCAAGATAAGCTTAAGCTGTAACTTTGATGGTGAAGATAGTTAAAAGGTCTCCTATTTCCCCCTTTGCTTCAGTTTTGTTCATAGAACTATTTGGGAAATCACATTACAAACTGACTCTGAAACAATTCAGCTTGAAGATAACCGTTTCCCTTTTCAGGTGAAGAGGAGCTGAATCCAGAACACAGAGTGTGCAACTGCACTAACAGTTGGGCTGGCACAGAGGAGGGGCAATATGGTGTTGCAAGACAACTCTAGCAAGCAACGGAGATCGAGAGCTTCTTAAGCAATATTTAGTGTTTTTAGTCAGTATCTTGTACAACTCTACACTTCCTTGAAAACTATTTCTATTGATGACTAGTTCTTGTGATTCAAAGTATATTATCACCAATGATCTGGTCCTTCACAGTTTGTCCCTTGAGATTCTAAAAGGATAAAGGGATTTTTCATTGCCTTCAGACTAAATTATACTCCACAAGAGGCAATCATTTGTAAATCAGGTAAACACAAGAAAAACATAAATAGTAATGGTGTCAGAGCTGGCTTCCCTCTGAAAGCAAGGAAGTGAAGACAAGAATGAAATGTCATTACTGGTAAATGATAAACTCCACCCCAACAGAAAAAGCATTTAACTGATAGAAAGAAGGCAATACCCATATAAAACACCTGTAGAGCAGGTTTTGTTGGGTATACAGGTAGCCTGCAAGATAGAGTTCAGTAATGCTGAGAGTAGACCAATGAGAATGCCAGTATGTAAACTCTCACCTGGAAGTACAGGTTGTACAGAAAACCTGTTTTGAGCAGCTTTTGTTGTTGTTTTGTTTGCTTGTTTGCATGTGTGATAAGAAAGCTGTACTGTCAATATTACTTACCAAGTGTTGCCTCTGCTTCAAATAAGATGGCTGGGTCCATCTTCACTTTAGACAGCATGAAACTTCACACTTCATCTCCATAATCTTCATCCTGGTTATCCCTTCATATATTTTCCTTCTCTCTTGCCCCAGAGTTGATTGGTTTGGCTCTTAAAGGACCTCTCTTTTGCAGCTCTTAGCTTGCTCTTACCAATAATCCCCTGCATTGCTGCTTCAGACACCACAGAACATGTCCAGTCATTACCTCACCTCTTTCCAGATGTCTTAGATCTTCTGTGTTTAGTTTTTGCTTAATTGCAGGGACTGAATAAAAACAAGCATCCACCACTTTCTTCCTCTCTTTGTAGTTAACAGAAATTTAAGCATCACTGCAGTACAAACATGGAGGTTAAGTCTGTATTTAACAAATAGTACTGCCAAAACTTTAGGGCTTTGTTCTGTCCTTACTCTTGCACAAATGAAAAGGAATTTGGCTAGTGTATAAGTAAAAACTGAGGATTAAATAATGTTTCATTCACTGAGTTCCAATGGTTCTATTTATTTCAAGCTACTATTTAAGAATACAAGAATACAGGACTGTGGATGCAAGCAAAAATGGCAAATCTGTTTTTCACCACAGGAAGTTTTGTTGAGACCTGTAAGAAATAAAGATTGTGGGAAAATACTGGGTATTATCTTGTCATCTATTTCATGATTTTAGCAACCCCCAATTGCCTCAGATTACATAGTTTTTGATGTATTTCTTTAAGGCAACAACCCTTAGAAGTATTTTTTCAAATACATCCTCCTTGGCTTTTGCATACTTGTTACCTAAATCAATATCCAAGTAATTAATCCTACAATCAAAGCCTTAGGCCTTCTTACTGTCTTTTATCTGTAAATAAATTTCCCAATCCTCTCCTTTCTCTAATTGCTCCAGAGGTCTCCAGGGAAACATCATCCAGCTCCTTTCAATGCCCTTAACTTCTTCTCAAACTGTGTTATTTGACAAAGTTATGCTGTTTCTCCTTACAGATTCAGTAATCAGCCCTCTCCAGGATACGCCATCCTTTCTTCTGCTTTATTTGGTTTCTTGTTTTTGGCAACTCCTGTATTCTGCTTAGTCCCTTGATGTTTTCCAGGCTTGTCTATGATGCTATATGAATACTGCACATGTACATGCCTTAGCAACAAGTAACTCCTTAATTCTGTAGTTTTGAGCTATGCACTTTAAGAACTTGCTTGGAATGTATTTACCTTGTACTTTGAAATTTAACAGGCTTGTAAGACACAGACTTGAACACTGACTAAAAGAACCTAAAAACAAGAAAAACTTTCTATAAAAGAAAAGATCAGGACTCTGGACTAGCACTTAGAAGATCTGAGATTACTTCTTGATTCATAAATTCTGTATGTGATCATCAGTTACAGCTACATTATAAAACAGAAGTCTCTAAAGGCATAATGAAGTTCAGCGTCAGACCATTCCCTCTTCAAATCATTGCCTTGGAGATGAATTGGAGAGATGCCGTATGTCCTAGGGTGTTCATGTACTAGCAGTATATTTGACGACATTAGTCCTCGTGTGCTTCAGAAAATATAGCCTAGATCCATATATAGTCTTCATTTGCCCATTTACAATCTGCACTTGCAGCCTCTTAGAACTTCCCTTACCTAGCAGTGTAGACAGAACATTATTGACTTTTAGCTCTATTTCTTGCCTTCAGCAACTCTTTTTCTCCTGTTCTTAACTATTGAGATTGTAACTTACTATAGGCATAAAATGCTTAATGAGCAAACTGTTAGGGTATACACACGAGTAACAGTAATTAGGACTACGCAAACTGTTCAAACAAGTGTCTTATAATCTGAATAAAATCAACAAAGTTTCAGCAGAAAAAAATCTGATGACCTTTACCTTTTAATATTTTCTGTACAAATTTGGAGCCCTTTATATTAAGAAACCATTTTATTATGAAGATTCCTCACCTGTGTGTCAACAGAATTATCAAGAAAACTTTTTCTAAGAAAAATTCTGTGGGATTGCCAGGGATGATGCAATTCCAAAATGCTTTCAATCCACCTTACAAGTTAAACGATTTTATAAAATATGCTCCTTTTGTTATGTTATTATTTGGTGTCAGTCAACCGCTTGGATTTTTAGCAGCCACTCTATGGCATATCTTAGAGTTTTCCTTACATTTGTACTGCTAATTATTTGAATTTATTAAATATTCTTAGAGTTGTGCTGATGCCAAAAGAACCACTTACAGTCTAAACAGAAACTCAGTTAAAAATGCAAGCTGCTCTGATTAGGTCCCAGAGATCTTACCAGGACGTCAACACAACAAGAGATACTAACAATCTCTTGGTGATAACCATCAGTCCTCAAAAAAAATAAAACCAGAGCCTCTTTAACCATTCCTAAATCTGATAAATGGGGAACAGGGTAGAGAAGTAGAAACTAAACAAATCACTTGTCAAATCACTTGTTTAGTAGAAACTAAACAAATCACACATCAGAGGTTCTTGAGGCTTCTGCAGCCCTCTGGCGATTAATGCAGTAGATCTGTGCCTTAGGAGACTTCCTCTTGGTGCCCACCAGGCAGTCACCACAACGTGCCCCAGCACCAAGGACACAAAGGTAAAGCAGGCAGTGGGATCTGAGCTACGGGAATTAATTTCACCAATCATCTTAATTAATTTTAATTGATTAATTTAATTAATTGATTGATTTAATTAATTTAAATGTCATTAATCACTTCATTTCTCCAATGACAGAATCGTGGTGGGAGCCAAAACAGCACAAAGCAAACAGGCAATCTGGAGATTAAAGTTAAATGCAAAGCAGTTAAAGCTAAATTAATGGTGCAAACATGGCACATCACTATATTACAAGGTCATGGCTGCTCTGTCAGACCAGGACTGCAGCCACCTTCATTGTTCTCACAGCCAAGGACTGTATCCACCTCCCATTCCCTTCACTAGGCTTGATCCCAATTTGCATTTCCAGCTTGACCTTGGATCTGTCTCCTAGTCATGGACTTCCTGATGGTCTGGACTGCTCCCTGATGCCTTGTGTGGTGCTGAAGCTGAATCAGAGGAGCAAAGGAGGTTGTCTCAGAGCTACAGTCTCTCCCAGTGGCTGACAAGGACAGTTCCAGTTTGCCAGTTTGTTTCCTTCTTTGTTTTCTGTAATAGGATGCCATTCCCATCAAGACTTGCTAAAGCCTCATCTTCATCTGAATAACATTGTTGTGATCCCATGGTTATGATCGAGGTGCTCCTGTTGCTTTGTCACCTTCTGAGGATCACAGGCGACTGAGGAGAAGTTGGCAGAATGCTCTATGCCAAATGTGTTAAAATGGATTCAAACTCATCTTTCTTCAGGTTCCATAAAAGCTGCACACTCACATTGTCTGTTTCAGCTTACTTCTGTGACTTGATCTTTGTTCTTCTGTTATTCCCACTACCCTGTAAATCAAGCTGTTCATTTAAATCTGCCATAATCTCCTTCATATGTTCTACTTCAGAGTCTCCAGTCTATAGAATAAACTGCCTGAGTTGATTTTCAGGACACCAGTATGCCCATTTAAGTCTTTTTAAATGATGTACAGACTGTACCTGCCAAAGCAGCTTGGTAATTGTGTTGATTTAAAGTTCAAGTCTCAGCAAAGAGTTGTTCCACCTCTCCCCCCCGGAAAGTAATCCTCAAATAAAATACAGCTGTATTTCTAATACACAAGACTCTTTTCTCCTACTCTTCCCATTCTTTGCCTTTCAATTGCCATCACTAAATGAACCATATAATCTTAATTCCTTGTGCATACCATCAAAGCGCATTAATGAGTCATCTCAGAAGCCAGGTAAACTGATTTTGAGTACACTGAGAGGAGATCTCTTAGGGCGATGCCATCATTATTCAGAGTAATTTCACACTTCAAATCTTTGGACAGAAATACAGGGATATATTTTTCTGTAGTGGATAGCCACAAATGTCATACTAAATACTAACACAGAATTGCATTTTAATACATAATTTATCATTCATTTGGACTGAATTCCATTTCTGCCTTGTGGATCAAAAATAGTCAAGGAGTTAACAATATGTTGAACAGTTAAGTACCTGGTTCTTGTGTGACCTGTAGCCTACACCCTTATTCCAACTTTAATCATGCAGACAAGTACATGGTAGTTTTCTGCACATCAGTGAAGGATACAGAGCAGAACCTTATTACTTGGTAATTTAATGTGACATTTTCAAGGAAAATAAAAGATATAGCCTTTTTCTCTCCTCCTGCATCCCACCCCGCTTTTATTTTTGTCGAAACTACACTATGTGGGTTGACTTGAAATTTAACCAGGGGACAGCCAACAGGAAATAGGTGTTTTGGATTCTCTGTAACTAAACCTGGAAACAGTGTTGAGCCTCACGTCTCAAAAGTGGAAATATATCCTAATTACTGAAAAGTTCAAAGAAAGTTCAAGTTTCGATATGAACACAAGCAACAATTTCAGCAACTAGGTAAGTCTCAGGCTTGGTTAATCAACACTTCCATACGTAGCTTTAGTGATCTTAATAGCACTGTCTTACAATTCATTAAAAGGACAGTGAAATTGCATTTGACAAAGTACATAGGTAGTGGTAGTCTCAAGTTAAAGTTTTTATAGCAAAACTGAGATACAAGGACTGAGATACATAACTTTGAGGATACCAAATTCTCTGTTCAGACACAATACTGAAGACTGCATGTTCCAGGGGTTAGAGTCAACTGTATGAAGGAAACAAGAGCTTAAATTCCCCAGAACTTCAGAAAACTGCAAAATACCCAAATAGTTGTGTGGTTGTGTGTGCTATACTGGCAAGCAATACAAAAAAAATAAAAATAAATAATAAATCAACATATCTTGTGCCTGACAATGAGTGATCCTTGAATCATTTGATATGTCTTAGCAGCTTCAGTTATCTCAAGCACAGGAGGCCATTTATGAAATTCTAATACAGAAACATGAATTCAAGGCAAAATGAAACATAGAGGCTACAAAAAGAGCACGAGCGTACAGGAGATTTTGCAACTCATAGGAAGCTCAAGAACTGATCTTGTTATTTGGGGGGATTCAGCACAAGGAAAGATGAGCTCATAATAGAGATCAAACAGACAGAATCCTGAATTGGAATTTATCCAGCACAGACAGCCTCCTGGTCCATAATAAAGTGTTTTAAGGTACAGTACCATTTTGGCAACATAGGCACAGGAAGAACTTTGCAACAGAGACCAAGTGGGAAATCAAGGAAGCACAGCACAATAAGCTGCACACGTTACTTGGAAAAGAAAACCTTGGTCATCAGAGAAAAGAACTCCCTTTTAGGACTGAATGTCTGTTAAATCTCCTGTCTCACTGGAAAAATGAGAAATTTGAAGTAATTACCAAAAAGTCTCAGGACGCTCCCATGAAACATAAAGTAGTGTTATCAAATCCAACCTTTGTTAATAAATTAATAATTTTTCATGTGCGTAAAAATCAAGTGCTTTTTAAAAACCTCTAGAAATTCTCTAAGGCTTTAAAGAATGATATTTAGGAGGCAAGTACAGGTGCATAATGATAAAAAATTCTTGATTATATCCTGAAACATTACATCCACACCATCATAATG